AGTCTGTAAAAAGTATTAATTACTTTGGATACTCTGGTTACAAGTGATATACGAAAAAAAGCCTGCTCCTTTTTGTATCTATGGATATACTTGTTTTTTTTTTTTCAAAATCATTTTCTCCCATTTTAGGCTGGTTTTTCAAGCCCTTATCTTTACCTGGACGATAACGCGCGTTTCAACGTTCGGAGGTTTGCTGCTCCACCACATTAGCACTCGTCGCTGCTCGTCCTGCATCCTTAAAAAGAGACAACGTTTTTTTGTTTTTGCTTTTATCTCATTGTTCATTTTCATTGTAATTTTGTCGTTCAGAGGACTGATACTGACATGGATGAAACAATTCCAATGCTTTTGGGCCCATTTTATCTAAAATTTCAGAGTACAATCTACATTCTAAGTGTCATTGAATACCACTGATAAACATATAATCATTAATCTCCACCAGAAGTCCCTTGTTATCCTGTAAAATCAAGGTTCAACGGTTAATTTGTTTAAATTTTGCCAGTTAGATCACGAGCTCTACCGGAAATTTCATTAATAATTACATCGAGGTTGTTATTAACACTTTTATTAATCGATTAGTCGCTCAATCTACGGTGCTTTTCATTAGAAAAATAAAGTCGGATGCTGGTACATAAGACAATGAACCTCTAGCGAATACTACATTTGCTAACGAGGTGTAGAATATGTTTATTAAGAAATAGTCGTCAATACACGAGTCATTTGTAACGCGTTCAATCTACGAAATAATGCTGACCACGTACTTTTATACATATACTGCGTGCTTTATCAAAGATGAGAAGGGAGAATGAAGAGAGATGGGGTGGGAGGGATGCTGATGAGTGAGACACTGGGAAAAGGTGATGATACTTGTGGGTGTGGTGAGCGGGAAATTGTCGAGGGTTCACAAGGAGGAAACGAAAAGAATTATAGTGTAATGAAATCCCAGGGACTCTTGGATCCAGTTGACTCTCACTTCACTTTCGTGATTTTTCCTTTTTACGGAGAAAAAAAAAAACATGAATTTCCCGGATGTTGATGCATCCTTGGCTATACATTCAATAATTGAAATGAAATTCATGAAATGGAAATTAATTTTCAAAAAATTGTAAACAAATTTCATCTAAACACTGACTTTTACCACTAAACATCGATATTAATAGTTCAATTAATTAAACACTTGTGAGAAACTATTCAAGTAACTATTGTGCGATTTCAGTTGCTATCACTATTTAAACATTGAGAGGCACTAGAGTGAGTCATTACGACTCTCGATGTTTTTCCTCTTTAAGCCATTCAACGACGCACGGGAGGCGAATGAGGGAAATGCTCGGGGGTTACTCAGGTTGAATAGTAACGATTGTCCGCGTCAATAGAATTAGCATGATGAGATTGTGTTCAACTCGAACTGATGCCGGATAACAGTGCATTTGAGGTGGAAATTGGGGAAATAACCGGAGGTCAGATCATCAGAAAGAGGGATTTGAAGGAGATACACAAGTATGTGTATTTATCGGTGCAAAATTCCGTGCGTCCGCTCACACATCGAAGAGCGTCAAGGGAGTAGGAGGGAGAACGTCATAAATGCTATGCGAACAAAGCTCTCGGCACACGTCACGCGGGTGTTCTCCTGCGCCCGGCACGTCGTTGCGAATAGCGATCCAGGGATTTCGAGGCATTTGATCAGACATGTCGTAGAAATTAAACGTGCCCCGTGGCATCTACCAGAAATAACATTAACGAGGAGTTTCAAGTTTATTCTTTGCCCGAGTGAATGAAAAGCCAAGTTTATGGACTCAGTAAGTTGATTTAACTAGCTAATTGAACTAGTTGTGCTTGTTTAATAAGCCATCGACAAATGCAATAATTTGAGTTTGAGTTTACGGCCCTGGTGAAATCGAAAGAGTCAGGAGATTCCCACTTGTGGAGCCATCTGTGGTGGTTAACGGGAACTTTGTCTTCAAAATCATCCCCCTCTCGGATCAATACTCGCCACCACCCGATGTTGGAGGCTGCGGAGAGAACGCGAGAACATGCCCTCAAGGCAAGAGCTACTCTCTCACTCATTTCCCTTTTTCTCTCTCTCTCTCTCTCTCTCTCTCTCTCTCTCTCTCTCTCTTCCTTTCCCTACACTTCCGTCTATCCCTTTTCACCTCCTCGGCGCTCGTCCCGTCTCTCGCGCTGCATGGACCACCGCACCTCCTTCAAACTTAACGCCAAGTTCTTTCCGACTGTTGAGAAAGATCGATATTGTGCGATTTAGCCTCGAGGCTGGTCTCTAGTTTAGCCTTCTGACTCATTAACGAACTTTGACAGTCAACTCCACCACGCTCGGAGGTATCTCATGAATTATTTTCCCACCCTGCAAATTCCCGGAAAGCACTCTCTTCAATTGTCCGGAGTTCAGAGAACTTGATAATTAGCGTAGATTTCCTTAATCATTCGAAATTTCCCGCCCAATTTGTGTGATAACAATGGAAATGGTCGATATGTACAAAATGGCCGGTATCTAGACGTGAGATTTTATACTCATCCGGAAGCCTTTGAAAGAAACCAAGAATCGAGTGGAGTGAGAGAGGGCATATGAAACATTGGAAAAACGAGGCAGATGAAGCCCCACACATACGGGTCACGCTTTAGCTCTGTCATGGTCGAGCTTCACCTCTTCTCCACTGCTATCTCATATATCGGGGCTTTCGCGCAGCTTGCGGGCTTTCCTTGTGTCGATGCCGCGCCATGCAGCTTCTAATAACATAATTAGATTTCGAAGCTCTTCGCCCATTAATTATGCGGTACACACATCACTCGGTATTGCCACAGCCGCGCTGCCGGCGTATCCTTGATTAAGTATATTTATGGTTTTGAGTACGTGGTGGCATGAAGGGAAAACGAAGTAAAATGGACAATTCATTTTTTTGTCAATAGTTCATTGAATTGCTGATGAAATGGGATAATTTGTGAAATTTCCTGGACAGTTGAGTAGTAATTTTTAGGAGAGTGACATTAAATTCGATTTAGAGGGAAGAAATCATTTTTCATTATGAAGCTGAAGCTAGTGATGCCGCGAGACATTTTATGAGACATCACGAGACAAAACTTTGGAGAGTTGATTTCGGTCTCAGTAAACATGGAAATCTTGCTCTCGACTCAGTCTCAAAATACGCAGTATCGACTCCTCTTGTGATGACTCCGAGTCAATCGATCTCGAAATATCTCGAAAATCTCGAATAAGCGTAAGCGTAAGACTGAAACCGAAGCGCCACTACGTGGGGAAATGAGAAGGCGCGTGTGCAGCACGCGCGGCCGATCGCGAATATAGAAAATCGAGACGAGACAAACCGAGACTGAGAGAAAGATTTCCATGTTCATTGAGACCGAGATCATCTCTCCAGAGTTTTGTCTCGTGATGTCCCATGAAATGTCTCGCGGCATCACTAGCTGAAACTAGCAGAATATTCGTCAGCGGAAAATTCTATTTCGGGGATATTCAAGTGTAGGGGGATCAAATAATCATATGTACAAATGTTTTTCAAGTGCGAAAGAGTTTGTACATTACTTAAAACCATCTCTACACCCCTAGACTTGCCTAAGACAAATCTTCTGCTGTCGAATCTTTCGCTAATTTCAGCTTCATTTTTTCATTCTACCATTAGTCGGGAGTTGTGTGAGAAAAAGGAAAATTGGAAAACGACACTGCGAGAGTTGAACTCGTATTGTCTGCAAGGCGTTTGATCCAGCCATCAGAGCATTGCTGTTGTCACGATATCCCCTTTTTTCATTGTCGGATATTAGTCAAAACAAGTCTCCACCTTTTCCCAGCACTATTCTCCTGTTTCGCTTATCGTTCTCTCTAGGAATTGTGTTTTAAAAGTCCATTAGCCGTATTGGTTGGATTAACACGACAATTTTGTGAGACTGTATCCGGAACTATAAAATTTCCAGAAACTCTCACAAAGGCCTGCAATCGACTCGAGACCGTCGACAGGTAGTAAAGGGTGCACACGCCACTTTTAAAAAGGGAAAACTAGAATAGCTTGAGGTTGAAAAGCAAGAGTGGGTATATTGCTGATGGAAAAAGGTGGGGTGGGAGGGGGCGAGGATCGGAGTAAGCGGCTTATACGGAAATACACGTTGCTTACCGTGTACCCCATGACACAGAAAAAAACATTGACGTGAAAAAAAGAATCATATATTCGACAAATTTTTACGAGAATCCAACAAAAACTATTGCACATCC